CAGCATATTGACCGGCTTTGTGGGGTTTTTATGTCGGTTTTGGCTCACCCATTCTACTACCCTTTTCCTCCTAATTGGCTCACTTAGTCCATTCACATTAAGTGTGATTATTGTCAGGCCAGGTTTTACCATTGCCATTTTGCAGTGTTCCTTTTTCTATTGTTCTTGTTACTATGAATAATGCAAAAAGTCATTACAAAAACAGAGGAAGAAAAAAAGACCAAGATGTGTGTCAGAAGAGACTATGAACATTGCACTAGAGCACTGAGAAACCAAAGCAAAGGGAAGAAATCCAGAGTTAAGGAGCTGAGCAGAACAGCACGGAAAGATAAAGTATTATAATGTAATATAAAAAGAACTAGAGTCAGAAAATCAAAATGGCTGAATTCACTCAGCATTTCTTAAACTGAAGGAACTGAAAAGCAAATTCAAGCCTCGTGTTACAATGCCTAAGGATGCTTTGGGCAGACTATTAAATGATCCAGGAAGCATTAAAAGAAGATAGAAGGGGTATACAGAGCCACTGTACCAAAAGGAATTGGCTGACACAGAAAAATTTCATGAGACAACGTATGCACAAGAGCCTGTGGCGATGAAGGAAGAAGTTCAAGCTGCTCTGAAGGAAATGACAAAAGCAAGGCCCCAGGAATTGACGGCATACCAATTGACATATTTCAGCTAACAGATGCTGCCCTGGACATGCTCACCGAGTTGTGTCAAGAAATCTGGAGAACAACCACTTGGCCAACTGACTGGAAAAGATCTGTATTTGTTCCCATTCCAAAGAAAGGTAACTTGACAGAGGGCTTAAATCATCAAACAATATCATTAATATCACATGTAAGCAAGATTCTGCTGAAAAATATGCAGAATGACTGGAGGAGTACAGTAGCAGCAAACTGCCTGAAGTGCAGGCTGGCTTTAGAAGAGGCCGTGGTACTAGGGATATTATAGCTAATGTTAGATGGATCTTGGCTGAAAGAAGAGAATACCAGAAGAATGTCTATCTGTGTTTTATTGACTATGCAAAGGCATTTAACCGTGTAGATCACAACAAACTGTGGCTGACTCTGAGCAGAATAGAAATCTAAAACACTCAATTGTGCTTATGTGAAACCTATACTTGGACTAGGAGGCAGTCCTCAGAACAGAGCAAGGAAACACTGCACAGTTCAAAATTGGGAAGGGTGTATGCCAGGAATGTGTTCTATCTCCATACCTTTTCAAGCTATATGCAGAATAGATCATCTGGGAGGCTGGGCTCTGTGAGAAGTGTGGCATCAGGACTGGAGGAAGACTCATCAATAACCTGCATAATGCAGATGACACAACTTTGCTTGCCAAAACTGAGAAGGACCTGAGGCATTTGCTGCAGAAAGTCAAGGACTGCAGTCTTCAATATGGATTGAAGCTCATCATCAACAAAACAAAGATTCTCACCACTGGGCCAATTAGCAGCATCCTGATACAGTGAAGTGATTGAGATTGTTGACAGCTTCAGATTGTCTGGCTCCACAATCAACACTCTTGTTACCAACAGCCAGAAAGTTAAAAGATTAATTGTATTAGAAAGTCTGCTGTCAGGGACCTCTCCAGAGTACGAAAAGCAATGATATCTGTCTGGAGACTAAGGTGTGCCTGATCTAGACCATGGTCTTTGCAACTACGTGCTATACAGAATCCATGCCTTTTTGCTGTGGTGCTGGAGAAGAGTATTGAATATACCATGGACAGCTAAGAGAGCAAAGAGGTTTGTCCTGGAGAGGGTGAAATTAGGCTGCTCCTTGGAGTCAAGGATTCTGAAACTTTGACTGACATAGTTGGTCATGTTACAAGGAGGGACCAGTGCTTGGAGTGGGACATCATGCTTGGGGGGTGGAGGGACAGAGCAGGAGAGGAAGACCCTCAATGAGATGAACTGACTCAGTGACTGGGGTAATCGGAGTAGGTGTGTCAGAGAAAATAAAGTTGGCTCAGTATAGAGCAGCATTCAGGGCTGTTGTACACAGGGTCACTATGAGTTGTAGGCAATTTGACAGCATATAACAGCAACAACAACATGATCCACCCACTTTCCATTGGCATCTCCACATGAAGGACTTCACTTAAAATTTCTTATCATTTTCATCTTGCTTGTTTTCACAAATTCCTCGTTTCTTCTTTTCTGCAAAGGATCTAATTTCTCTTTCACATTTGATGGAGAGCTTTGCTGGGTATAGGATCCTTGGCTGGCAACTGTTTTCTTTCAACTTTCTTTATGTGTCATCCCACTGTCTTCTAGCTTGCGTGTTTTACGCTGAGAAATCAGAACTTAATCTAATTGTTTCCCCTTTGTAGGTGACTGTTTTCCTTGTGCTACTTTTGGTATTCTATCGATATATTTTAATTTTGAGAATTTGACTATGATAAGTCTTTATGGTTTTCTTTTGGAGTTTAGTCTTTTGGGGTTTAGTGTTCACTGGCAACATCTTTTGATTTCTTGACTGTTGCTCTACCGTGGATGTTGTTTGTGGATCCAGGCAAAATGAAATCACTGATAACTTTAGTCTTCTACCCACTTATCATAATGTACACCCTATTGGTCCAGTGGTGAAGATTTTTGTTTTCTAGATACTGAGATGTAATCTATACAGAAGGTATAGAAGGCTGTAGTCTTTGATCTAGTCCTTCAAACCTTTACTTCTAGCAAGAAGGGTTCTGTCATCTACACAATGCAGGTTGTTGATAAGTTTTCATTCTTCCGCATAAAGTCCAGATTCTCAAATTAATTGCTCAGCAGACAGATTGAATAGGTATAGAGAAAGAATACAATAGTGATAAACACTTCTCCTAATTTTAAACCATGCAATGTTCCCTTGTTCTGTTCAGACAGCTGCTCCTTGGTCTATGCATAGGTTTCATATGAGCACTATTAAGTGTTCTGGGATTCTCATTCTTCTCAATTTTATTCATAGTTTATTATGATCCACACCTTTGAGTACCTTTGCACAGTCCATAAAACACAAGTAAACATCTTCCTTGTATTCAACCAAGGTCCATATGATGTCAGCAATGATTGTGTTCCATAGTTTTTTGAAATTCAGCTTGAATTTCTGGTAGTTCCTTATTAATACAGTGTGCTCCAGTCACTTTTTTTTATTATATGCAGCAAGGTTTTACTTCCATATGATATAAATTATATTTTTTAATAATTTTTGCACTCTGTTAGATCACAATCTGAAGTGAAAGTGCTCGGCACAGACGCAGATCTCGTCCAGTATGTTGACCAGCTGCATGTCTTCCAAATTCCTTCCCTTGCCTAGAACAGCACCTCTCCAGCTGTACCTATTTGCTGATACACTTCAATTTGTATTCCATCACTTCCTGGAGTCTTACTTCTTTTACCAGTGTCTTCAGGGCACTTTAAACTTCTTTGTTCATTACCATTGGTAATTGATCATATACTATTTCCTGAAATGGACCAGGATCCATCAATTCTTTTTGATACAGTGCCTCTTCTAGCAATATCCTCAAAGTATGTGAGATGATGCTTTATCATCTTTGCCTCCAAGGAGCACTCTAGCTGCACTTTCTCCAAGACATATCTGTTTATTCTTCTGACAGTCCATAGGATACTCAGGGCTCTTTTCCAACACCTCAGCTCAAAGGCATCCATTCTTCTTCTGTCATCCTTATTCACTGTCCAGTTCTCAGATGCACAACAAGTGATCAGAAAGACCTGAATGGCTTGAATAAGGTTCATCTTAATTCTCAAATTGACATAATTGCTCCTCAATAATTTGGAGAGATCCCTGACAGCTGACTTTCCAAATGCAATATGTCTCCTGGTCTCCTGAGTTCTGGTACCAAGGGTGTTGATTGTGGATCCAAGTAAGATGAAGTCATTGACAGTTTCAATATTTTCTCCATCTTTCATGATTACCCATTGGTCCAGTGGTGAGAATGTTTTTTCTTGGCATTGAGATTCAATTCATATTGAAGGCTGTATTGATTTTCTGCAGCAAATGTTTCAAATCTTCCTCACCTTCAGCATGAAAGGTTGTGTTATCTGCATCATGTAGGTTATTGATGAATCTTCCTTTGATCCTGATGCTACCTTCTTCTTCATAGAGTTTAGCATCTCAAATAATCGGCTCAGCATAGAGACTGAATAGGAATAGAGAAAGGATTTAAACCTGATGCACATCTTTCTTAATTCGAAACCATGTAGTGTTCCCTTACTCTGTTCACACAACAGCCTCTTGGTCTAGGTCTAGGTTTTGCACAATTAATTACTTATTGAAAGCCAATTGATTGCTATAATTAATAAATTATAAAGTCTAATCAAACCCTTGTTATGTATCACTTTTCCTTTGACCCAGTTTCTCTACGTCTTAATTTTCACAAATGCCTTTTTAAAGAAACATAAATAGTGACTGAGCACACTGACCTCATCTGATGGAATACACAAGAATGGTTTGGAGATGCATTTCTATAACCAGAACAGAAAGACAGAACTCCAAAGGCAAATTCCACAGCAAAATAGGCAGACTAGGTCTGACTACAGCCACTGGAACTGCGATCCCCACAGCCAGTTCTGATGGAGGCTGCCCTCCATTGTGAGGGATGTTGTGTCTGGAGTTGCAACTGTCCCTTGAGATATTCTGAGCATCTCATTCCTGAGTGTGGGTTGAGATTTTGTTTGTGTATGAGCTTTCAGTCAGAGAAACTACTGCAAGACCCTCCCAAATGTCCACAATACACAACCCACTGCCAGCAGATGGTCTCCAAGGCTGCAGATGTTTGCGGAGATGGCTGACCATCTTATCCCATGGAAGGCTGGTGGATTCAAACCACTGACCTTTCTGTGAGCAGCTCAACACATAATATAATCTGCTATGCCAGGACTCCTTCAAAACACAGCCAGAGCCTGGACAAATGGATGCACCCAGCATAGCCATGATGTGCAACCGCTCAGGGCGCACCTGTAGCCTCCTGCCCCTGGCCTCCCATAGCTCTACCTGTGGCGGGAACCGGATATCAGTCTGCGCCCCATACTCCAGCAGCAGCCGCACAGCATCCACGTCTGCGGCCCTCACAGCAAAGAACAGGACCTGCATGGGCACTCGGCACAGGTTGGGGTCAGCACCTCGGCGCAGTAGGAGCTGGATGGTCTGCCACTTCCTCTTGTGTCTGCAAAAATCACAGATGTCTGCAAAAATCACAGATGGAGAGGCTGTGGTGATGGAGGGGCTGGGGTGACAGAGGGGCTGGGGCGATGAAGGGGCTGGGGCGATAGAGGGGCTGGGGCGATGGAGGGGCTCCGGTGTCTAATAATCAGACCACTACACCCTCAGAGTTACTCTGAGAACCCTGGACCAGCCCTGCCTGTGGCCCTGCCTGGTCACAATCAGCTCCAGCCACCTGGGCTGGGTTTGTGGGTGGGTCACCTCCTCACCCTGAAGTCACTTTGGAACCTGAGCAGGTAGCATCCCAGCCTCAGGGGATGCTGTGAGGTAATCACACACCACTTGTCCATCTGCAGATTGTATACGTGCACAGAGGTGCACACGTGAGCAGCACAGACACGGTGAGAGGAGGGGGGAGTGGAGAGCCAGGGCGGGGGGCTGGGTGATGGTCAGGGATGGGACCCTGCAGCTGGACTGACAATCCTCGCAGGGAAGCGGGCTGTGGGTGAGGCAGTGGGGCAGCCAAGGGCTGGCTAGCCATGTGCCCCCCAACCAGGACAGGGGCTGTCAGGGAGGAAGGCTCCAGAGAGGCGGAGCCTCGGGGGTGTGGGCACTGGGTGCAGGCTTTCCACTGGCTTCCACTTCAGGAGACATTTACAGACAATGTGGTGACCAAGCACCGAGCACTGGTGCGACCCCTCCCAGCAGCACCCGTGTGGCTGAGGCTGACGTGAGCCAAGACACACTGTCCCTCACGACAGTCATGTGTTTCCCAGTGGCTTCTCCAGTAGCTGTGGCACAAGTGGCCAGCAGGTCCAGTGGCCCTGGCTCATGGAGACAACACGCACCCAGATGGTGTGCTGGCCACCCCGCACGGCCCCTCCAACAACAGGGGAAGCTTGGAGTTGTCCATGGCTCATTTTCAGAAGCAGGTCCCCTCCAGGCTGCACTTCCTTGTCTGTCTTGCTCTGAAGATCCCTAGCCCCATGCGTGGGTGCGGAGAGCCTGTCAGCGAGCTTCCAGAGTGACCACCGTCCTGATCGCTGACCAGCCTGGGGTGTGGCTGACCCTGGCTGACCTTGGTGCCATCTGTCCACTGCCACTTGGGACTGATCAGCCCATTTGCACAACAGAGCAAAGCTTGCCCCACCCTGCACCATCTGCATGACCCCAGGAGGCTGCCCAGTGGTGGACACCCCGGGAAGTTTTGAGGCTCTGGTCCCCTCCTTCACCTGCTGTCTCCACATCACCTGATGGCAGTTAAAGCCTGGGGTGCCTTCCCAACCCTGACTCGGGGCTGTGTGACTGTGGCCAGCAGGCCTGGAGCCTGCCCCAGTCATGGCCCTTTCTCCAGTCCTGCTGGCCCGCCTGCTGCAGGGCCAAGTGGCCTCAGTCACAATGTTGTGCAGACCTTCTTCACTCGAGGGCACCTGTAATGACACCAAGACTGGGCGTTGGGGTCTCGTGGCCTCTGCAGGGAACGTGCTCACAGTGCCCCTCCCCCACTGGGCCATCTCTGCTTCGTCTACGTCCACAGTCCAGGGGGTGTCCCGAGGCCTGAGCCATTATCCACTGCGACTCCACTGAGAGCCAGCACCTGGCGCCTGTCACAGACACAGTGGGAAGTCAGTGTCAAACAGCATTGCCCGCCCCACTGCAGGGAGGCCTGGGGTGCAGCATGTTCCATGCTGGGCTGCTGGCTCGAGGGTGCGCTGTTCAAATCTCTATGGGAGAAAGATGCACCGTCCGCCCAGGAAGATGTGTGGCCACAGGAGCTGGTGGACAGTCACGGGGGCCAGAGCGACCCTGCAGTGGTAGGGCTTGGTTTCTTCAATCAGCCTTTCAATCCAGAGCCTACAACATCTCCATGATGGAAGCAGGTTTTCCCAAGTCCAGAAGTTGTGAAGGATTATCACTGGTGAGCAGTTCTTGCCATGGTGTCTGGTGACACCATGTCTGGTGACATCATGTGTGATGTCTGCAGGAAACAAGACGTTCCCTCATGAAGGCTCGGACAGGCGATGTTGGGCCATCCCAGGGCAGATCCACTCAGCAGCACACGATTTATAAGCAGTGCTTGACTGAGGAGACAGACTCTGTTCATATTAATTAAAAAAGCCTGTCACACATATCTGAGAATGAATGAGCATGGTGAGCCAGCGGGCCAATTGCTCAATACAACATGGTCCCTATGGGGCACGTCCCCAAGGGGCACGTCCAGGTCAGCCTGCCTCCCCAGTGAGGCATGGTGGGGAAGAGCTTTGCTTGAGAAAACCACACCCTGGAACCTGCTTGTTGCCCTGGTTCTGTCCATTCCGGATGAAGTCCTGTCCTCTAACGGGCTCAGTTAGTAACATCCTGCTTTCCTGAGAGCCTGGTGTTCTCTCACTGAGGGTAGCTGGGGACAAAGTGACCAGTAGGACCACTGCTCTGTCCTCCTCCCAGCTGTGTGTGCACCATCCATGCAAGGTGAGCATGTGAAGGAGGCAAGTGACATCCTCAGGGAAAAACCAGAACAGGTCCCACCTCACAGACCCACGGAGAGGGCCCTGAGATTCCCAGGGGTGCGTGGGAGCCATGGAGCGAATCGTGCATCCCAAAATATGTGCCAACTTGGTGAGGTGTTGTAAGTCTTCACCTCTCTGATGATAGGCAGGATTTGCTATAATTGTTAGGGCTGTCCAGTTGACGACTCACAGTCACCCTGTGAATATCAAATCTGAGTCCTCCTCGCAATCTCTGACCTGCTGAAGCCATTGCTGCAGTCGTGACAGTCCAGTCATCGAAGGCCCTCTCGCTGCAGTCGTGGTGAGGTCATCGAAGGCCTTCCTCCGCTGCAGTGGTGACAGTCCAGTCATCGAAGGCCTTCCTCCGCTGCAGTGGTGACAGTCCGGTCATCGAAGGCCTTCCTCCGCTCCAGTCATGGTGACAGTCCGGTCATCGAAGGCCCTCTCCGCTGCAGTCATGGTGACAGCCCGTTCATCGAAGGCCTTCCTCCGTTGCAGTGGTGACAGTCCGGTCATCGAAGGCCTTCCTCCGCTGCAGTGGTGACAGTCCGGTCATCGAAGGCCTTCCTCCGCTGCAGTGGTGACAGTCCGGTCATCGAAGGCCTTCCTCCGCTGCAGTCGTGGTGAGGTCATCGAAGGCCCTCTCCGCTGCAGTGGTGACAGTCCGGTCATCGAAGGCCTTCCTCCGCTACAGTCATGGTGAGGTCATCGAAGGCCTTCCTCCGCTGCAGTGGTGACAGTCCGGTCATTGAAGGCCTTCCTCTGCTGCAGTGGTGACAGTCCGGTCATTGAAGGCCTTCCTCCGCTGCAGTCATGGTGACAGTCCGGTCATCGAAGGCCTTCCTCTCTTTCATTGACCCTCCACCTTTCCTAGCATGATTTCTCCCCAAGGATTAGACCCTCCTGACAACATTCCTAAAGGATATAGTTGTTAGGTGCCTTCAAGTTGACGATCACTCACAGCAACCCTCTGCCCAACAGACCTGAGCCTTGCACTGCCCGGACCTCCTCACAACCTCCATGCTCGAGTCCATGGCTGCGGCCACCGGTCAGTCCACTTGATTGAGCAGCTTCCTCTCCTTCACTGACCTCCACCCTTCCCAGTATTATGGCATGATATCAACATATGATGTGATCTCATGTGACGATAAGGTGGTTAGGGTGGGATGCAACACCTCAAACAGGTCAGAGCCCTGACCAGAGGTAAGAGAGAAAAGGAGAAGGTACCCCCAAGATGGAAGCCTGGAGGTGAGTTGGTTCCTGGGATCCAGGACCCTGTACTAGAACCAAAAGACACAGAGAGAGTCGGCCTTCCCTAGGACTGGCATCCTCAGCCTGTCTGTTAGCTCTGCTGGCATCGGCTGGAGAGGGCTTCCTGCCAATCCAAAGGGGGCACCTCTCCGGTGGTTTGAGTTCACCAGCTGCTCTGTGGGAGAAAGACAGCCAATCTCCTCCCAGTGGAGGGTCAGCTGTGAGTCAGAACCAAGTGGACAGAAATCAGGCGGACAGAGAAGGGGGAGAACAGTAAGAGACAGAGAGAGAGGGACAGAGATAGAGGCAGAGGGAGGGCAGGAGAGACAGCGGAGAGAGGGAAGAATGAGGGAAGGAAGGATGAAAGGAGAGAGAGGGAGCAGGGAAGAAAGGAGAGAGAGGAAGACAGAGAGAGAGAGAAAGAAAGGGAAGGAGGGAGGAAGAGAAAGACAAGGACATAGAGAGAAACTAAGAGAGAGAAAGATGGGGGGAGGGAGAGAGATAGAGGATGAGGGAGAGAGGGAGGGATGGAGAAAGGGGGAGGGAGACAGGGACAGAGACGGGGGTCCTGAACGGTGAGGCTGGACTCTTGCTGGGAAGCCATCCACTCATCTGGACACTAGAGCAGCCGGATCCTCAGCATTCTTCAGGCTCCTCCCCTCTGTAGTCTGATGTCATTACTGGGTGTTATAAACCCTCACCATTGATGTTAATGAGGTGGGATTAGCAGAATTGGTAGTGAGGCTTGGTACCACTGACAGGATTAGATCGTATCTTGAGTCAATCTCTTTTGAAATTAAACAAGTGAGCAGAGAGGGGCCCTATCTCAACTGAGAAACCAGCCCAAGGAGTAGAGCGCATCCGGGGTTGGGCCCTTGTGCCCGGACTCCCCCAGGCTCAGGGGAACCCAACAGAACTCTTCTCCAGAACCAACAGGAAGCCTTCTCCTGGAGCCCGGCCCTGGATGCAGGCCTCTGGCTTCCTGACTGTGAGAGAACAGACCTCTGTATGTGGGCGCCCTCCACCTGTCGTGTCTCAGGGTAGCAGGAGAACCCAAACAAGGGACATGGCTGAGGGCCACTGTCCAGACCATGGGGTGTGGGCAGGTGCATGGCGTGTGCACCTTCAGATGTGAAGCACAAGCCTGTGCTCCCCAGGGATGACCCCACAAAGGCCTAGGATGCACCCAGTGAGGACAGCATGCACCCCTGAAGCCTTGGGGTGCTTTGGCCCAGTGCCCAGACACTCTCCTAGAAGCATCCTCTGTGGTGCACCCCGCCCACCCCAAATTCACTCACTGCATGATGGACAGCACCCTTTTCCGTATGGATCCTTTTTCGGAGTCACAGGTGGTTAAGGACGAGGCCAGGAACAGGCTGTCGAGGTGGGCGCTGCGCTCCAGGAAGTCGGGGGAGAGTGTGACGGACAAGTTGTGGACACACACATTGGACTCGAAGGTGATATCGCTGCTTAACGTGTTCCCTGTCTTGTCGTCAGGCCCCTGCAGTGACCTGGAGACGTTGGTCTTGGTCTGTAGGGAGCTCTGTGGGCCAGTGCTTGGGCTGATCTGCTCCCTGGAGAGCTTGCTGGTCTGGTTCAGGATGCCCTGGTGGCTGTCCCCCTGGTGGCTGGCCAGCTCTGAGGCACTCCGGGCTGGCCTGGTCAGCGAATTCGAAACCAAGCGCATAGACACTTCCTTTGGAAGGTTAATAAAAAAAGGGGGAGGGGGGAATGCACATGCTATGTGTTATGTTGGTTGTTTCACTTGGGCCTCTCATTAGAGGTCACAAGACCTCGTGGAGGGCCTGTGTGTTTAAAAGTCGGTTGTTATTATATTTTGGAGAAACATTCTAAGTTGTACAGCACTCTTCTGTGAATTTGCTGCCCTGAGGTAACCTGACACTAAACCTTGTTCTACTGGGGTGTCAAATACTGTAATGGTTACACAAGATGGACAGTGTTTGGTGGAGCTCCCAGTTTAAGACAGGTTTGGAAGCAGGAGTGGCATCCACTTACTAAACCACTTGCCTCCGGAAACTATGAACTATGAAGTGACGGGACTTACAGAAAGGCTTCAGATCTTTTGTTCATAGGGTCGCTATGGGTCGTGCTCAACTCGACAGCAACAACATATATTACATACGTGTGCCTGTCTTACAATCTCCATGTAAGTGATATGTATAAATGACTGCAGCAGGGCGTTTGAGCGTGCTGGGGACTGTGAGGAGGGACAGGAGAGGGCAAGGTCTTGATTTGTTCACCCAGAGGTGCGATCAACTCAACTGCCCCTCCCATTATGTAAGAGTGTGTGTGTGTGTGTGTGTGTGTGTCATCTGAGAGCTGGACAGTGAATAAGGATGACAGCAGAATTGATGCCTTTGAGCTGTGGTGCTGGAGAAGAGCACTGAACATCCCATAGACAACCAGAACAGCTATGTCTCAGAGAAGCTGCAGCTAGAGTGCTCCTTAAGGCAAAGCTGGTGAAGCTCTGTCCTTTGTACTGTGGTCATGCAGCTAGAAGAGGCGATTTCTTGGAAAGAGACATCATGTGGAGAAAGGAAGCGTGTCAGCGAGGGAGAGGAAGGCCCTCAGCCAGGCTTTTGGCATGATGACTGCCACAATGGGCTCTGCCGTGCCAGGCATGTGGGGATGGCACTGGCTAGGCCAGGGTGGCACGGTGACTGCCACAATGGGCTCTGCCGTGCCAGGCATGTGGGGATGGCACCAGCTAGGGCAGGGCTCAGATCTGTTGTCCACAGGGTCACTGTGGGGCACACTCGATTCTAAAGCACTGACCAACAACACACACACTACATATATGTTTAAATGTATATAACACAAACGCTGTACATGTAATATTGTTGTGTGCTGTTGAGTTGAAGCTGATCCTCAAGTGGGTTTTCAGAGGCAGTAAATCACATGAGAGGAGACTGTCTGTCCATCCTTCTCCCCTAGAGCAGCTGGTGCATTTGAACCCTGTGTCTCTGAGATTGCAGCGTGGCTTCTTACCACAAGACTACCATAGTTCTCTATTTCAATAATATGTATACATATATTTGCAGGAGAAACCTGGGCAGTCTCCTCTCAGGTGATTTACAGCCTCTGAAAATCTGCTGAAGGGTCTGCTATGAGTCGGCTCCAACATGGCACATGGCCCATAGGAAATAACAATACATATTAGTGTATACATGTAAATACATTAAAACATGTAACATCTTGATGGCACAGTGGTTAAAAGCTTGGCTGCTTGCCAAAAGGTCAACAGCTCGAGCCTCTGGGTAGACGCAGAGAAGGAAGGCGATCTGTCCCATGGAGACAGCAGCCCAGGGAGGCCCATGGGCAGCGGCAGCCTGTCCGACAGGACATCACACATGGGGACGGGGAATCTCCTCTGTCCCCTCTTCCTCTGTCCGTACAGGTGTGTGTATGGATAGTAAGGAGCTGTGCTGACCTAGTGGTAAGGAGTTACGCAGCCCACCCAAAAGCAGGGGCAGGCAGCTTGAACCCTCCAGCTGCTCTGCAGAGGAAGGCTGGCAGTCTCCTCCTGCCCATTAACTGCCTCGGAAAACCCACTGGAGGGTCAGCTATGAGTCAGTTCCGAGTTGACGTCACATAACAAGTGTGTGTCTTCATGTGAATAAAAGAGGCCCAGTGCTAGTGAGTCGATTCCAGCTCACAGTTGCCGAGCCTCTACTGGAGGTCTGTGTCATGATTAGAACTCACGCCTCTGAGATTTTATGGGAGGAGACTGCCTATCTTTCTCCCATGGAGCAGCGGGTAGATGTGAGCCACCAACATTTCGGTTAGCAGCTTAGCTCGTAACTTCTTGTGCCACAGAAATATATACAAATATAAACATATAGGCCATTTCTACTTTCCTTGTTGGACTGCTGATCAAAAGGTCAACAGCCTGAATCCACCGGTCCCTGTGGTAGAGAGATGGGCAGTGTCCTCCCACCGAGCTCCCAGCCTCGGCTTCCTGACGGAGGATTGCTTTGGGTCAGGACCGACTTGACAGCTGAGAAGCCTTATTATTCTTTAGTGACAGAACTGTGTGCCCTAAAGGGGGTGCTGATCCCAACACCCTTGGCTGGGGATCCTTGGAAATAGTGCTCTTGTTCCGCTAATGAATTACCTCAGTGCAAGTGTGATAAGAACAGGTCAGACACAGATGCAAGCAGGACCAACTGAAGCTGGAGGCCATGTGAAAGACCCCAGGGAGCCGGGGGCCAGAATTTCGACAGAGTGGGCCTTCCACTAGAGCAGGCACTCATGTGGCAGCTACAGGGCCATCCCCTCCGCCCTCTACTTCCCTGAGCGTGTGGGTGTAGATGACACACGCCTGGCAGGCTGCACTTAGCTCGGCACCTTGCTCAGACCCCTGGATGCTGACACTTTGCCCCAGACAAGGGGTCAGGCTGGCGGCTGAATGCACAGAGGAACAGTGGGGTGGGTGAAGGGTGGCCATGAGTCACCTGGTGCTCCAGCAGAGCCCCATGCAGATTCCTCTCTGCGATGTTGGGCTTGAAGGCGCTGGCAGGATAGTAGAGGAGGAAGCACATGCTAAGAGGCGTGAGGCCTTCGTCTGAGCTCCGGTTCACATCAGCCCCACTGTCCAGCAAGAGGTTGATGACTCGCGTGTGGCCGTGGACCTGGGGGACACACCCACCTGAGATGGGGGACAGGCCTACACTGACCCAGAGTGATACCAGGGTGGGGGGAAACACAGATCCGCCCTGAGTGAGACCTCAGGGGGCAGAGCTGGCTAGGGCAAGACCCTGGAGCGAGACAGGGCGCTCCATCCTCTGCTGCCCTGGAGTGGAGCCCACACACCAAGGAGGGGCCTTACAGCGGCTGCAGCGAGAACAGTGTAGCCCTGTGCGTCAGCCACGTCGGCAGAGGCCAGGTTTTTCCGCAGGATTCCGTGGATCCAGTCATAATCTCCATCCTCAGCCTTCAGGATCATTTCCCTGGCCACTCGCTCCCTGAACCCACAGCGCGCAAAGCCGCTCCGGTCGCCCTGCACGATGGCGGCCATGTTCCAGCTCGCATGGGCCTTGTCGTGCCTGCAATGCAGTGGCCCTCGTGAGGGTCAGGCCGCCTCCCCTCTCTGGTCTTGTTCCCTCCATCCTCCCTCCACCTTCCTAGGCCACCCCTTGGGTCCCCTGAGCCACCGGCCTTATCACAAGGATGCCGTTCAGAGGTGGAACAGCAGAGACACGAAGCATCTGCAGAGCCCTGGAAGGGCTGCTGGTAGAAAGGAGTCCTGGGTTACTCCAGGTTTGCTGAGAAATGGGCTCTGGGGTGTTAGGACTTTTGAGAATGGCGTTTCCATCCATTGCCTTAGCCCCCCGTGGAGGTGTGGTCTCAAACTGCCTCCACTGTGGGCACACGGTTCGCTATATCAGCATCTGCAAACATCATCAACAGCTACAAGGCCAACGTGAGAGAGAGTGAACTAAGCTAACTGTAGAGACTGTCACAGGTGGAGCCTGCTGGAGCCAGGGCCAGAGTCTCCGAGACCAAACCTCAACACCAAGACGAAGCAGCAGAGAAAGCAACACATCCTTTGGGACCAGAGTTCACTCGCTGTTGATGGAGAAGCCGTCTAAGCTAATCAAGAGATTGTCTTGCTGTTCACCTGGCTTGGACAGCGATTTACTGAACCCAGGCTTTCATTGTGTGATAGCCTTTGCTACCTCACCCATTTCCATGATAAGCTCCACAACTGTGAGTAAAAAAGGGTTCTATAAAGTCTGTGTGGCCATTCCAGGCCTAGTAATTGGAAGTACACGCAGCAGAGTGGGGGCCATGTCTGAGCTTCTAGGGACCAGTTTTCTACTGTGGATGTTAATGGGGACAGTTCCCCTTTGTGGAGTGGGTAGGGGTCAGGCTCAGCTTGCCTTGCTGGTCTATGCGGCTTTGACAGGCCCTCAGAGCAGGGTTCCTGGTGGAGAGGAGGCTGAATCCTGCAAGGCACAGAGTTCAGCACCAGTGTCCACAACACCCACCTGCTACTCCCTCCTTCCCCCCCCCCACACACAAGTCCCACGGCTGCACAGCCTTGACCCTTGAATACACATGACTGTGTGCTGAATCAAGAACCCATGGGTTAATGGTGGCTTTTGTACTCAATGGTCCTCAATGATTAGTGACTATATGGATAGATGATAGGTGGGTGGGTGGCTGGTAGATAGGTGGGTGCATGGGCAGGTGGGTAGACTATCAGTGATAGATGAGTGGATGGGTCCATGAGTGGATGGATGGATGGGTGGATGGATGGATGGATGGAAGGATGGACAGATGAACAGGTGAGTGGATGGACGGGAGGATGGTAGTTGGATGGATGGTGAGTGACTGGTGAATGGATAGTTGGGCAGAGAGATGGTGATAACAGATGGCTGCGTGGTAGATGGTGTATGAACACATGGCTAGTGGATGGATGGGTATAGGTGATGCCTGATAAAAGGGTAGATAGATGGATAGTTGGGTGGGTAGGTGATGAATGGTGGATGGTGGGGAATGGATGGTACAGATGGATAAGTAGAGGAGTGGGGACAGGAGTAAATGGATAAATGGGTGGATGGTCTAATGATGAACAGTTTAAAGAAAGATTGTGTGAACAGACAGAGGTATGAATTGGTGTATTGATGAATGGATGGAAATGTAACCACTTGGGCTTATATAATACACACTCTCAACTGTCTGAGGACAAAACATATAACAAGAGCTAAAATATCCCTGAATATTGTAAATGAAAATGTTAACATTTTCTCCCTAAGTAGATGTTGACTTTTCTGGAGTTGCAGAGGGCAGGATGGGTGCTCTTTGTAGACCAATTTTCACAGGCTTCCTTAGAGAGCAGGAGGGTCAGCCTGCCCCAGGCCCATACCTGCCAGGTGCTCTCCTGTTCTGGCTTCTCTGACCAGATCTGACTGTGTGAATTCATCACCCTGATGGCAGCCCTTCACTTAGTACCCCTACACTAACCTGTGTGGTGCAGAGGACCTTGCCTGCTGAAACTGAAGAGGGCATGAAGCACTTGCTGCAGGTCAAGGACTGCAGCCTTCAACATGGATTGAAGCTCAACATCAAGAAGAGATTCTCACCACTGGGTCAATTGGCAGCACCATGATAGATGGAAAAGAGTTTGTTAACAGTTATAGCTTGCTTGGCCCTACAATCAACACTCTTGGCACCAGAAGTAAGGAAATCAAAAGACGAATTGCATTAGGTAAATCTGCTGTGAGGGAACTCTCTACAGTACTGAGAAACAACGATGTCAGTCTAGAGACTAAGGTGCACCTGATCCAGGCCATGGTCTTTGCACTTTCTTGCTATGCATCAGAGAGCTGCAGAATTACTAAGGATGATAGAAGGAAAGTGGATGTCTTTGAGCTGTGGTGGTGAAGAGTCTTGAACATGCCATGGACCACCAAGAAAACAAATAGGTCTATCCCGGAGAAAGTGAAACCAAGTTTCTCCTTGGAGGCTAGGATTTTGAGTCTCCATCTCACATACTTTGGGCACATGGCCAGTAGGAACCAGTCCTAGAGAAGAACATCATGTTTGGAAGTGTGGAGGGGCAGCACAAGAGAGGAAGACCTCGGATGAGATGGATTGATCCAGTAACTGGGGCAATGGGGATTGGTCTGTCAGAGTTGGTGAAACTAGCTCAGAACTGGCAGGTTTCAGAGCTGCTGTATGTAGGGTCGCTATAAGTTGCAGGTGACTCGATGGTACATAACAACAGAACATGTCACCACAGACGTCACCCTGCTGAACAAGGGCCACTAGCTCCCATCTGAGATGAGGAATACTTGTCAGATCATGGAGTGGGACTTGGATGCAATCTCACGGGTCCCGGGACTTCTCCCAAGTGCTGTCCCCATTCACTAGCCTGACATAAACATAACTCCCCCTCTGAACCTCCTGGTCTTTCCCTCCCCCAGGACCCCTGACTCAGAGATGTCCCCAGTTCTCCTGGTTCAGCCTTCCCATGGCCTCTCACACTCAGGGACAGTACCCCGGCTCACAGGGGCTTCCCTGTTCCTTCATTATTGGACTGCGGATTACACGTTGGGCTGTGGACTGAACAGTCAGTAGTTCAAATCCACTTCACCACAGGAGGAAGATGTGGCAGTCTGTTGCCATAAGGTTGATGCCTCAGAAACGTGGTAGAAGGTGGCTGCACTCCGGAGCCCGCCCCACGGCAGAGGGTTTGGTTTCACTGTTGCTGCTGTCAGCTGCCGTCAAGGTCAACCCTGACACATAGCGACCCGTGCACAGCTGGACACAGCACTACCCAGTCCTGTGGTCCACTCGGGGGGCTGGCCCATGATGTTTTCACTGACTGTTGAAAGTAGGTTGTCAGGCCTTTTTCTGGCCCATCTTAGCATCATAGCAACACGCAAGTCTCCATGGCATGAGGTGGGAATTGAACCACGATTTCCCACACGGAAGGCACCACTGAGCCACCACTGCCTCATATCACAGAAGACACACCGACCTGCAAATCACCTTGGCTGCTATGGCCCCTGCCTGGGACTCGGTCCTCAGCGCATACCTGGCCAGAGTGGAAAGTGTGGACTGGAGGGGCAGCCAGGCACTTACCTGAATTTATATGTATGCTTCAGGATTCTGACCAGCAGAGGGGTTTCATTCATAACAGGCCAGGGCTCCCCATCCTCCACAACGTGTGGGTCATCGTCCATGAAGAGCTGGGCCTCCAGGTCCTTGCGGAAGGAGCAGGTCATGGGCAGGTGGCTGTTGTCCGTGGAGTAGAGGGGCATGTCTGGGGGCAGCCTGAGGTCATCGTTCAGGAGAAACTTCTTGTACTCATAGAAGAAGGGGTCCCTGGCCTCGTCCCAGTCCCACTCCATCTCCTTGTCTGAGAGGCTGAGCTTGGCTGGGGCGTCAGTAACGAAGTGGGCCAGCTCGGGCCAGCGCAGCACGGAGAAGCTGTGGGGAGCCTGCCAGCAGAGCTTGACGAGGTGTTCATGGAACCACAGCCCCACGTCCTGGCTGCCATCGGGGTTGGTCTCCACGCCTGGCCCGAAGCGCCTGTCCGCCTTGTACAGCCCCTGCAGGTAGCCCGAGCAGGGCCAAGGGGAGGACAGAGGCCAGTGAGCAGGACTGGGCACCTGACTCCTCCGATAAAGCACTTCGCAGCTTTGTGCAGGTTCTGTGAGCCTGGAGGAACCTCCTGGAAATCAATGCTACATTTCTGTTACGTACTCAGGGTTACCAGGCTTGAGGGAAGGGGGTGGAAAGAGAGGAGGTGTTGAGGTAGAAGGACGACAAAAGGAATCCTGGGGAATTTTTTTATATATATTTTTGTTGCCAAGTTGAGTTCCAACTCTTAGTGAACTTCTATCAAGTCACCAAGGCTGAACATCTTTACAGAAGGAGCAGCCGGCTGGTGGATTTGAACTCTCAACCTTTAACAGTCTGGTCAGGTTCCACACTACACCAGCAGGGCTCCTGTACAGAGAGCCTTGTTGGTGCATTCACTAGGGAAAATGAACTGGCAACCTCCAATTCTACACCTTGTGAAAAGAGCGAGGGTGACATATGGGAAGCTGGGAACAGCACGGAGGGATAGGGATCCATCTGGATGTTCCCTCAGGGCCTCCAGAGGATCTGTATTTCAAAAGCCAGGATAGCGTCCAGGAGAAAGGCAAGTTTTGATATACTAGAATGATGCAATTTATATAATAGAAAGTACTCGTTTACCTGGGTTACTCCCGGGGTTCTCCCCCATCTTCCCCTACTTCTGAGAAGACAGCAACAAGGAGACGCCCCTTTGTGTGTGGACCCTCATCACCGAACTACGACAGCAGGGGGAGAAGAGACAGACTACCAACAGCTTCAACAGGCATGGCTGCATGACCAACAACACTCCTGGCACCAGCAGTCAGGAAAGCAAAAGACAAATTGCACTGGGAAAATCTGCTGTCAGGGACCTTTCCGGAGTACTGAAGAGCAACAATGTCAGTCTAGAGACTGATCCAAGCCATGGTCTTTGCAATTACTTGCTATGCATCAGAGCTAGACAATGAATACGGATGACAGAAGAACAACCTATGCCTTTGAGTTGTGCTGGAGAAGAATGCTGAACATACTATAGACTGCTAAGAGAACAAGCAGGTCTGTCCTGGATAGGGTGAACCTGAGCTGTTCATTGGAGGCAAAGATTTTGAAGCTCCATCTCACATACTCTGGGCATGTTGCAAGGAGGGCCCTGTCCTTGAAGAACATCCTGCTTGGAAGGGTGGAGGGACAGCACAAGAGAGGAAGACCCTGGATGAGATGGATTAACACAGTGACTAGGGAAATGGGGGTAGGTGTGTCAGAGACAATGAAATTGGCTCAAGATAGGACAGGGTTCAGAACTACTGACTATATTGACTCACACGGTTGCTAAGCTATGAGTTGCAGGCAACTCAACAGCACATAACACCACCACAGTTACCAGGGAGCTCTAGTGGCCTAGTAAGAACCTGTGCTGTGTTGCAATCCCAGGGCGGGTGGTTCAAATCCACCAGCAGCTCCACGGGCGGATGGACAATCTCCTCGTGCATGATTCACTGTCTCTGAAAACCTGCTGGAAGGTCAGCTATGGGTCTGTTCTGACTCAACAGCACACAACAATAGTGACTATATTGAAGCCTTTGAGTTGTGGTGCTGGAGAAACGTAGAGAGTATCCAGTGGCCTCCACTAGAACAAGCACGTCTCGGGGAAACAGAACCAGAGTGCTCCTCAGAGCAAGGACGAGGGTGCTTTGCCTCACGTACTTTGGGCATGTTGCAGAAAGAATCAGTCCTTGGAGAGAGACAGCTGGGGAAGGTGGGGGTCAGAGAGAGGAAGACCCTCTACAAAGTGGACTGACAGAGCGACCATCACAGTGGAGCCAGCATGCTGGTGATGTTGAGGGCGGCGTGGGGCAGGGTGGGGTTCAGGTCTGTTGCTCATAGGTTGTTAGGAACCATAGTCGACTCCAGGGCACCTGACAACAGTTACTATGGGGGCTCTGGGGCACAGTCAAGAGGGTGCTGTGCTGCAAACCAGGGGGTGGCTTCTCTGGAAGTTCAAATCCACCAGCTGCTCCAAAGGAGAAAGCTGAGCAGTCCCTCCCGTCACGGTTTCTGCCCCCAGAGCCCACAAGAGGTCCCAGAGAGCAGGAAGCGACTAGGCAGTAGTGTGTCTGAAGGGTTTTGAGATTCTTGATACTTTTACCCCCACCGCCCTCCAGCATATCACGGCTCTCAGCACCCCTCCATCAGCTCTCTGAGGCTGTAGGCCTTTGTGTGTGGGGGGGCGGGGGTTGTGCTTATTCAAACAGCAAGCTCTCAGCCCTTGGCCCACCACCCTCACCTGGAAGAGCCTGGTCTTGAGGTACAGGGTGCCGTAGCCCTCCCGGCGGCTGAGGTAAAAGGTGCCAGTGAAGCTGGAGCCATCCGGCCACGTGTAGGTGCCCAGGCCGTGGAGGTGATCATGGTAGAGATGACCGCGGTATGTCTGCAAGGAAGGGTCATCACCAGGGGCCACTTCCCAGCCATGCCAGACCCTTACCAGATGTCCTGAGAACTGAGGCGTCTGATTGTTGGGGAAGGGGGACAACATGGAGTAGTCTTTGATTTAGGAAGTCACTCGTTCCCCGAAAGCAAGTGCCCAGCACACAGCCCCAAAGACCCCAAACCAAGCTCATTGTCCTCAAGTCGATTCCAACCCACAGCAGCACTGTGGGACAGAAGGGGGGTCCCTTTGGCTGCTCACCGTGGAAGGAGCCCTGGTGGCTTGGCGGCTACGTGCTCAGGATCAGTGGTGCAAGGCCGCCAGCCACTCCACAGTCCTGCTCCCATGAAGGTTCTCAGCCGCGGAGAACCCCAGGAGCTGTGGAGAACCCGGGAGCCATAGAGAACCCCGGAGCTATGGAGAACCTGGGAGCCAGAGCCATGGAGAATCCAGGAACCTTGGAGAATCCAGGAGCCCTGGAGAACCATGGAGAACCCCAGAGCCATGGAGAATCCTGGAGCTGGAGCCGTGGAGAACCCTGTTACCGTGGAGAACCCGGGAGCCGTGGAGAACCCCGTGGCCGTGGAGAACCCCGTGGCCGTGGAGAACCCCGTGGCCGTGGAGAACCCCGTGGCCGTGGAGAACCCCGTGGCCATGGAGAACCCAGGAGCCGTGGAGAACCCCGTGGCCGTGGAGAACCCCGTGGCAGTGGAGAACCCTGTGGCCGTAGAGAACCCAGGAGCAGGCTGCTCCAGTCTAAGAGGCCACTAGAAGCTGCTATGGACTCAACAGCAATGGGTTTGGGTTTTAATCTTTACTGAAACAGATTGCTAGTGTTCTTCCATAGAACTGCCGGTGGGTTTGAACCTGTGACCTTTCCATCAGCTGCGACAACTTAACTACTGCTCAACCAGGGCTCCTTCTGCCACCCCACCCCCCCACACACACACTCACATGTACACACAGTCAGTCGCACACACACATACAAACACCACCTCTGCTGCTGGCTGGTCTCACACTTCCCAATGAGGCTGCCTAAGTCAGCTGTGCTCTGCACAGATCTGTAAGCACTGCCTCAGTGACTCCACTGGGACTCCCCAAAGTCCAGCTCTGACAAGACACTGCAAAGCCCGACACCCCCTAGTGCAGCCGCCGGGCTCACATCACATAGAAGGGATAGTCACAGCCGGCAAGTTCCACAGGCCCATGCTTTCATCTCCCACCCTTGTCCTTCGTTCCATCTCAAGTTCAAGGCCATTCTGCTGAGGTAAACACACACCTTTCTGCAGCATAAAACATTTGCCCAGAATGAGAATCAGTCTTCAGTTACGCCTCCCAAAGCAGCACCTGCTGACCCCCAGGCAAACCATGGGTCCTCAGGTGTCCTCCTGTCCACAGAGCTAAACCTTCCTATCACGGATCTTTAGCAGGACAGAGTCCCACACTGAGCCTGGCCCAGGCCAGGAATGGGGGAACTGGGCAGTGGTCACTGGTCACCTTGCCCAGAAATCAGGAAGGGGGTAACTACTGCTAAGTGGTAATTACCCACTTTGGCCCTGGACCAAGGAAAAGGGAAGTGGGCAGCGGTCACCTTGCTATGGGTCAGGCAGTGAGTAGGTGGGCAGTGGTCACTTACTATTGGGTCAGAAGGGGAGCAGGGGAGTCAGGGAGGGGGAAGCAGCAGCAGTCACCTCATCTGGAATCAGGGAGGGGGAAGGGGGCAGCAGTCACCTCATTTGGAGGTCAGGGAGGGGGAAGCAGGCAGCAGTCACTTTACTGGAGGTCAGGGAGGGGGAAGCAGGCAGTGGTCACCTCACTTGGAGGTCAGGGAGGGGGAAGCAGGCAGCAGTCACCTCACTTGGAGGTCAGGGAGGGGGAAGTGGACAGTGGTCACCTTGCCCAAAGTCAGGAGGGGGAAGCGGGCAGTGGTCACCTCGCCTGTGGGCCAGGAGAATTCGCCAAGCCCTGTCTTGGTGTGCAGCCCAAACTCGCCCAAGTAGGTGCAGCCATCGTGCCACTCTTGTGAGCCCTGGACCAGGTGGATGTACGTCTCCTTCAGGTCCTGCTTCCCTGGGGGCCCCTCGGACTTCTCATCTTCTGCGTCCAGGGATGACAGGCCCCTACAGAGGGGCAGGTGAGGACAGAGGTGAGGACGGATGAGCACTTCCAGTGATCGATACCACACAGTGTCCATACCACACAGCCCACCTCCCTTCCTTGGGAAGCAGAGAAAAATGCTTTGGGCAGAAAAGGAAACTGAGGCACAGAGGGTGCTGGATTCACCTAAGGCCACAGAACAGGAAGGGACATACTCTGTTCTGACTGACCAGCCAAGTGGCTGTGGGGCTGCAGAGACAGAGCTCCTCCGCCTGGGGCAGCCAGGTGGCCCCACGGCTGGCCGTGGTCCCCTCAACAGGTCAGTGCACCCTCACTCCAGGGCCTTTCTCCCCAGTTAACTCTGCACCACGCTGCCAAGGACGGTGTAAGCAAGGATAAGCACCGGCCAGGCCAAGGGAGGACCTGTGGGCAGCTTAAGGGGCAGCAGTGGACGCGGAGCTAGGCGATGGCAGCGGGATGCAGGGATGCGAGGACAGCAGTGGACCTGCCTTGGTCCCGCCCTCCAAAAGCCCTCGCGCACCATTTGGAGAAGTCGATATCCTCCTGCTCGTTCAAGTCCTCCGTTCTGGGCTCACTGCCTGGGCCCGTCAGGGGCTCCTGGAAGCTGCGAGGACCCCCATCGTCGTCCATGCCTCGTCTTGCAACCTGGACACGAGGCCGAGGAAGGGCCGTCAGACACACGTGGGCACCCGGGCACTGCCCACAGCTCCCGCGACTCCCCGCTGTGTCCACGCAGCCTGCCGCCACCCACTCGAGTCCGGGTCGGCTCTCAACACTGCATGAGGGACCCAGAAGCCTGAGAAGCCCAGTCCCTACTGTGGATCCTCCCACTGTTTAGGGTGACGTGGTCATTGTCAGTGGGCCTCCATGGACAGCAGGGTCCCCTTCCCCTGGAGGTTTCCAGAACCTTCCGGGAAGAAAGCGGGGGTCTGCAGGCCCACCATTTCCCAGTCCACGCGTGGGATCACACTCCCAGCCCCCTCGTAGACCGGCCAGGCTGGGAGACACCGGGCCTGCACTGGCCCGCCACCTCTGCGGAGCTCCAGGACCCTAGACTGCCCCGCTGACCAGCGAGCTCACTGTCTCGTCGCCCTGCCTTGGGCGCAGCGAGCCTGGGAGAGTGCGAAGCGAGGGCACTCAATGTCAACTCCGAAAGCACAAGTGCTCACACACCCAGACCCCGCAGGTTTCCCTGGAGACACCTCCATGGCCACTGTCCTGGCCTTGGCCAATCCCGGCTGGAGCTGGAGAGGCCCCGCCCCGCCCACGTCCCACAGAACCCCGCCTAACCCTGACCACGCCCCACAGAGCTCTAGCCCTGGATGGCTTCAGCCAATCCAGGCTAGATTCAGAGAGGCCCCGCCTCGACCACGCCCCACAGAACCCCGCCCACGCCCCACAGAGCTCTGCCCCTCCAGGCTTCAGCCAATCCCGGCCGGAATCTGAGAGGCCCCGCCCTACCACGCCCCACTAAACCACCCACCAGCCCGGGCCTGCACCCAGCCTCGCTGGAAGCCTGGGGTCTCAGCTTTCCTTGATGTCACTCCAACCTGAGCCACAGGATCCCCGGTGATCCCCAGACCCCACACAGTGTCGGGGCGGTTCGATTCCCCGTGCGGGCTTGGATTTCCGCAACGTGCATCTCCAAAAAACAGCAGCACCGGTGCAGAGGAGCAAGTGGGGCGCGGTGGGCATGGCCTGTGCTAGCGGGGGACCCTGCGCTGCGAATTCCAGAGACGGCTTTTGTCCCTTCAGTGAGTGCTGGTGGAAGACAGAGGGGGAGGGTACGAGTCAGGATGGAGGGGAGGATGGGCAGGTGTCCTGAGTGGGGTGGAGGGGAGGGCGGAAAGGTGTCCCAAATGGGGCCTGGAAGGGAGGACAGCAGGTGAAGTCTAGGTGAGGAAGGGGCTGTTCAGCAGAGGGGCCCTGGAGGAAGCGAGGAGAGGATTCCTGAGCTGGTTCAGAATACAATAGAGACCATCTTAGGGCGTTCAGAGAAGGAACTAGAGTGTGCAGAAGCGCTGCGGGGGTGGGGGTGGGGGCAGGCTGGGGACTCGGAGGATGGGAGGATCGAGGGGAGTTCAGGAGTCAATTGCACTGCCCCTCAGAGCACAGAATCCCGCTGGATTGCAGGACATGGGCAGACTGGCCTCCAAGGTGCACAGTACAAGGAGCTGGAGAAAGACAGCAGTCAGCTTCTGTAAAGATCCCCCCGCAGGGAAGGTCCATGGGCCCTCCCTGTAGCCTTACCTGGTGGGAGCTCTGCTAGTAGGAACATGCCCCACCGAACAGTCCTGGAAAATCAGTGCAGGAAGAAAGAGAGGGAGAGAATGAGTCGCCCAAATGGTAAGCTTGCATGCTAGAAACCCAAGTAAGGAATACATAGCATATGAAAGCTGGAGCTTAGTAGAAATATCAGTTTGAAAGTCGTCCATGTTTACACAGATTGTTCTTCAGCCTAGAACAGTTCACCAAGGAGTCTTGGGCCTTTTATGGGGACTAAGGTAAACAGCCCCAAGGACAGACTAACCCTAGTACCAGTTCATTATCCCACAGATTAGATCTCTCCTGGAAAAGTAATCCTTACCCCCAAGGAGTGACTGGTGAGCAAGACCAGGGCTACCTCTGTTAGTTGAAACGTGTCAATTGGTATTCCATCGATTCTGTTTTTGCCAATGCCTTCAGTGTAGCATGAACTTCTTTCCTCATCACCATTAGCTCCTGTTCATATGGTACTTCCTGAAATTTCCATGTGAAACAATTCCTTTTGCTACAGTGATCCTGTGTATTCCTTCCATCTTCTACTGATGCTTCCTGGATCATTCAAGATTGTGTCTACAGCATCTCTGTCTTGCAACTTGAGGTTTTACTTTTCAGTACTTTCGGTGTGAGAAATACCTGACTCCAGCTTTCTGCACACTTTGCTATAATATTTTATCTTCTTGAGCTGCTCTTTGAAATCTTCTGTTCAGCTCTTTTTCTTTGGCATCTCTTCTTAGTGTTTTGGCTTCTTGATGCTCTAATGTAATTTTCATAGTCTCCTGGTATTCATTTAGTTTTTTCTTTCTCCTCCTCCTTCTTTGTAATGACCGTTTGGTTTCTTCATGGATGATATCTTGGATGTTCTCCCACAGTTCCTCTGATCTTCAATCATTTGTGTTCAATGCCTCAAACCTGTCCTTGAGATAATTCTTAAATCCACCTGGGATAAACTCAAGGTCATATTTTGTTTCCTGTGGACTAGTTTTCAGCTTCAACTTGAACTTGCACATGAGCAATCTGTAGTCTGTTCCACAGTCTACACCTGGTCTTCTTTTGACTATTTATTATGTATTTATTCTTTGAATTTTAACTCCCACTGCAGACCTGGCTCACAAAGTAGCTTCTGTCTTGTGCTATCTTTGCCTGGATACATTCACAAGTCAATGTTGTATAAACATGAAACTGTTGTTACTCAGATATGGCAAACTGAGGCTGAGCCCTCAAATATGGAAACACAAAGAAGGAAGAACAGTTGTAAGCAGACACTAGTGATTGGAACATAGAATGTGAGAAGCATGAATGTAGGAAAATTGAACATGGTTAAGAAAGAAATGGAACACATAAATATTGACATACCTAGGTACTGGTGAAATCAGATGGCTTGACAAGGAACATTTTTAATCAAGTGACCATATGATCTACTATGCCGGAGATGAAAAAGTAAGGGAAAATGGGGTTGCTTTTATAGTTAAAATAAGTCAATTCTAGATCCATCTTGAAATATAATGTTGTGAGTGACAGGATAATATCTATACACGTACAAGGAAGTCCAGTGAACATTATCGCTCAGATATATGCACCAAAAACTAAAGCCAAAGAGGAGGAAACAGAAGATTTCTACCAACTTTTGCAGTCAAATTGATTGAACATGCAATCAGGATGCATTAATAATAATGGGTGACTGGAATGCAAAAGTTGGGAAAAGGGGAAAAGGATCAGTAGTTGGAAAACATGGACTTGGTTACAGGAATGAAGCAGGTGATAGAACGAAAGAATTCTGGACATTCAATGATTTATTCATTGCAAATACTTTTTATAAGAAACAAAAATGCAGCCTGCACACATAGATTCCCCTGATGGTATGCATAGAAATCAGATCGGTTACATCTGTGGAAAGAATTGCTGGAGAAGCTCAGTATCAGCTGTGAAAACTAGACCAGGTGCCGATTGTGGAACAGACCAACTACTCATATACAAATTCAAGCTGAAGTTAAAAAAAAATGAAATAAAATCCACAAGAACCAAAATTTTACTTTGGGTCTATCCCACGAAAATTTCCAAACCATCTTAGGAACAGGTTTGAGGCCTTGAACACCAGTGAGTAAAGACCAGATGAGCTGTGGGAGAATATAAAGAATATCATCCATAAAGAATGCAAAAGGTCAAATGCAAAGGCAGGGGAGGAAGAAAAGACCAAGATGGATGTCAGAGGAGACTCTGAATATTGCACTAGAGCACCAAGAAGCCAAAGAAAAGGGAAGAAATTAAGGAGCTGGATAGATTTCAAAGAGCAGTACAGGAAGACTAGTAAAGTGTTATGATGAAATGTGCAAAGAGCTGGAGTCAGAAAATCAAAGGGCCGAACTTGCTCAGCATTTCCTGAGCTCAAGGAACTGAAAAACAAATTCAAGGTGTGAGTTGCAATACTTATGAATGCTTTGAGCAGAATATTAACTTATCCAGGAAGCATTAAAAGATGGAAGGAGTATACAGTCACTGTACCAAAAGGAATTTGTTGACCCAGAATTTCATTGAACAACATATGAGCAAGAGCCTATAGTGATGAAGAAGTTCAAGTTGCCCTGAAAGAATTGGCAAAAAACAAAGCCTTAGGAATTGACGACATACCCATTGACATATTTCAACAAAAAGGATGCTGCACTGGATGCACTCATCAAGTTGTACCAAGAAATCTGGAGGACAACCGCTTGGCCAACTGACTGGAAGAGATCTATATTTGTTCCCATTCCAAAGAAAGGTGACCTGACAGAGGGCTGAAATGATCAAACAATATCATTAACATCATGTACAAGCAAGATACTGCTGAAAATTATCCAGAACCAACAGGGAACTGCCAGATGTGGAGACTAGTTTTAGAAGAGGCCATGGTACTAGGGACATTATAGCTAATGTTAGATGAATCTTAGCTGAAAGCATAGGGTACCAGAGGAATGTCTATCTGTGTTTCATTGACTATGCAAAGGCATTTGACTATGTGGATCACAACAAACTGTGGCTAACTCTGAGAAGAATAGGAATCCCAGAATACTTGATTGTGCTTATGGAAACGTATATTTGGGCCAGAAGGCAGTCATCAGAACAGAGCAAGGAACCACTGCATGGTTCAAAATCAGGAAGAGTGTATGCCAGGGATGTGTCCTCTCTTCACACCTTTTCAGTCTATATGCAAAACAGATCATCTGGGATGCTGGCTCTGTGAGGAGAAATGTGGCATCCGGATTGGAGGAAGACTCATCAACAACCTGCTTTATGCAGATGACACAACCCTGCTTGCTGAAACTGAGGCGGACCTAAAATGCTTGCTGCAGAAGGTCAAGGACTGTAGCCTTAAATATAGGTTGAAGTTCAAAATCAATAAAACAAAGATTCTCACCACTGGACCAATTAGTAGCATCATGACAGATGGTGAAGAGATTGAGGGTGTTATCAGCTTTTGTTTGCTTGGCGCCACAGTCAACACTCTCCGTACCAGCAGCCAGGAAATCAAGATGAACTGCATTGGGAAAAGTCGCTGTCAGGGACCACTGCAGAGTACTGAAGAGCAATGATGTCAGTCTGGAGACTAAGGTGCACCTGTCCCAGGCCATAGTCTTCATAATTACTTGCTATGCATCAGAAAGCTGGACAGTGACTAGGGATGATAGAGAACTGATGCCTTTGAGCTGTGGTGCTGGAGAATATTGAATATACCATGGACTTCCAGGAGAACAAAGAG